CCCGTGTGCCACCCGCAGGAATCCTTCCAGGCACATGGCACATTCCACTCCCCGGCCAGTCTGCACGTGTGACACTATGGCACAGCGCACGGACGTGTGCCTGCCTCCCTCGGCCTCGCGGCAGCATGCCATCCTGACCGAGAGCCAGCGGCCGAGGCAGCGTGAGCCCCTCTCAGGGACAGCGCTGCTGCCCATCGCCCGCACACCCTCCTCCGGCGGCAGTTACCATCCTGGAAGACTCTCTCCACGTTCAGTCCGTAGGTGGCACAGGTCTCGTAGTACGTGCAGCGCTTCAGATCGTTGGAAAGCTTCCGCGCCCGAGAATCGTCGATGACCCGGGGGTTCGTGGCGCTGATGGCATCTGGAAAGCGAAGGGAGAGGAGGTTGAAACGCCAGCACCTGTGACCCACCTGCCCACAGGTCCCAGGGCACGTCCTGGCCACCCTCCCTCCTTTCACACACTGAGACACCCACCGCCATAGTACACCCCCTCTCCTACAAATGCCTTAAACAACAGTCCCACGTTTGCAGAAAAATGGATTTGGCAAATGAACCTCATTCAGCTCCCCTGCCCATCCAGCCACCGATGCTTCTGAAGACAGAGGGCAGAAACCAGAGGGAGATGTGGCTGGCGAGGCAGGGAGGGGACACACCACCGAGAACTCACACGACCATGGCACGAACAGGGCAGCTGCTGAAGACAGCAGGACACTCAGTGATGACAGACAAAGTGCTGGGGGCAAAGGTGCAAACAGTCCGACCCCGGGTCCGACTGTGGCCTCACGCACAGTGCCAGGTGTGGGCATGCGTCAGAAACGACTAACGTGGCCATCTGTCAGCGCCTCACTGGTCACGGCCGCTGCAACGAGCGCGTCCACTCGCCCGCAGGCCTGCCTCGCCTGCTGCACCTGCCAGTCTCCATCGTTTTCGGTCTCACGGCCATACCCTACGGATCGGAGAACCGAAAGGGAGAAATCCTCCTCAGATAACCGGGAAAGGCGGCTCTGCAGGATGTGCTCGCAGTCGAGGCCTTGGTGGACAACACTAAAAAAGAGGCTTAATTTGTATCCCAGATGGCTGCTAAGTGCTCCCATGTTTTGGAAAAACTGCCTTCCCAAGAGGAATCCGATTCCTTCCAGACATGCCAGGGAAAAGCGGGGGCTGTGAACCCGCTCAGGAGGAGTCGCAGGAGCACGGGGACTCGCATTGTAAAGAAGTCCTCCTCCTCCTCCTCCTCCTCCTCGAACAGTCAGGGACAGCAACGACCACCGACCCCTCTGCCACGGGACAGCAACGACCACCAACCCCTCTGCCACGTCACCTGAGCCCCCACTGCCCGTGCCTGCCCCCCAGCCCAGGCCTGAGCCAAGATCGCTCACTCCTGGCACTAATTCCGCCATCCTTAAACACCCAAAGTTTAACAACGTCGTTCCACTCTCAGCCCGGGGCCCAGCACAGACGCCCCTGCGGCTCCCCTCCCGCGTCACACCGCCCTTCCCAGCCACGGAGCTGCCTCCTGGCCAGGAACGGGTCATAGACTTCATAGATTTCATAGATTTCATAGATTTCATAGATTTCATAGATTTCTAGGTCCGAAAAGACCTTAGAGATCATCCAGTCCAACCGTCCCTAATCCCCCATTAAACCAAATGGAGTCACGCTTCTGGGTTATGCTGCCAAGACACTGGGTCTTGCCAAAACCTTTTTCCCTCATGTCCTCCAAGGACACCTGTGTCCTGTGCTCCCTGCTGTCACATCCAGACAACCCCTGCAGCCCCAGGCTCCCTCCTGCCTGTGCTCTGCCATGTCTGGGCAGGAAGGACGCCCGTTTTGCAAATGTGGAGCAGATACCTGCAGCGATGCCCTGTTACTGCCCCTCCTGCCCCCTGGGCACCCGCTTCCAGACCGCCTCCGACACGCGCTGTGCAGGGCAGGAACCCCGCTCGAGGGCTGCCCTCCCTCCCGGCAGCCCCCTGCACTGGCAGGTGCCCGCCCACGGTCTGGGGTGCCCAGCCGGGGCTCTGGGCACTGCATCTCCTGTTGCCTATGCTGCCCGTGCCCACTGTCAGCCTCAGCCCAGGTTTTGTGACAGGTCCCTTACAGCCTCCATGCCAGTCCCAGCGGGCTCCAGTCCCGGCCCTGCAGGGCAGAGGTGGGGGGGCAGTTCTGGGTTACTGCTGCTCTTTCCCACACCCATGTGCGCTGGCAGCACCTCAGGGGAGACAGTGCTCCGCTGCTCGGGCTCTGCTCGGGGTGCTGAAGGCAAACTGCTGCCCCCTAAACGTTCCCTGCAGCAGCCTTCCCCCCGAGGACGAGGGGCAACGCACCCGCAGGGAGCCCTCCTGCCTGCAGGCGCTGCTCCTGCCTGCACCCAGAGCTGAGGTGGGCAGCGCCAGGGGGTTCGGGCAGTTCCAAGAGGAAAGCGGCTCCATGAGGTAAGGCAGCTCTGCAGGGAAGCCGAGATGGCCCGAGAAGGGATCGCTCAGCTCCCCCGGCGCCCTGAACCAGGGGCCCCAGCGTGGCACAGCCCCACATGTGGCTCGCAGGCTGGGATGCCCACGGCACTCGCAGCACCGCGTGAGCACCGCGGGCACTCTCACCAGCGCGGACCCGTCCCCCGTGCTCCCGACGGTGGCAGGGAGGATGCGAGGAGGAGGCGAGGAGGAGGAAGCCCAGCTGCCCCGCGCTCACCCTGCGTGCCCACCAGCACCATCGGCACCTCCGCTGTGTTCCGGTAGCTGCAGAGCCGCAGGTAGTAGTTGTAAACTGTCTGGAAGCTGATCTCGTCCTCCAGGCTGAAGACAAACACCACGGCGTCGACCCAGGCAGCGAACTGAGGGAGACACACCAGCGTCACCACCCAGACAGGCGTCCCGGAGCGCCGTGCCCAGGGCTGCCAGCCGGGGTGGCCTCACGGCAGGCGCGGGGTGCTGCGGCCAGGCTCAGCCCAGCGCGCACAAGCTCCCCGACACCACGGGGACAGTCACTATAGGGGCAGCTCCTGACTCACAGTCCTCATGTTCTCTTATCATCGGGCTCCCAGGAGGCAGCCGGGTCCGTCCCCAGGAGCCCTCCGACCGCTTGGGCAGGACGGGGAGGGAAGGGACTGCAGGAGGTACTACAGGTCTCCTACCTGGAGTTCGGGGGGACCCCCTTCATCTCGAATTAGCAGCAAGTAACTCTGACCGTCCACCACGATCTCCTTCTTGAATCGGCCACCTTGGGAAGAGAGCAGAGCAGCAGGTCAGGAGCGGGGGGCAGGCAGGGGAAAGCCCCTTTAGGGGGCCACGGAGCCCCTGCGGCAGCCACGGATGGGGTGCAGGGACAGGGGTCACCCTCAGAGCTGGGGAGAGGAGCGAGGACCCGGCCCACCCCCTGGGCGCCCTGGAAAGCAGACCTTACCCTCTGGAGACTCCTCTTGCACGTAGGTGCCGGTCAGGTAGCGGTGCACGAGGGCCGACTTCCCGCTGGACAGATTCCCCACGATGCCCTGGAACAGAAGCACACGTCACCCACCGCCGCGTGCCCAGCGCGTCTCCCTCGACACGAGGCCACCCACGCGAGGTGGGACCACCGGTGCCCGGGCACACGCTGACAACAGGCAGAGATGGTCTCGAGAGGGCACAGGGGATGGTGTGACCCAGCCAGGCACACCGCAAGAGGCCTGGGGCATTCACTGGCCTGTCGGGCAGAGAGCAGCAGGTACTGGGGCACTGCTGCCCGGACGGAGGGCGGTGAGTGCCCCCGTCCTCCACCTCATCCATGCCATGTCACTCTTCCCACAGCCCTCCTGCTCCCTGGGGAGACGCTTGCCCTCCCAAGCCAACGGTCAACTCAGAAGGAAAAAACCTCTTCTCCCATCCCACACATCCCAAATTTTGGGGCATTACAGCTCTTGGCAGCACCTGCCAGGAGGAGGAGGAGGATTGCAGAGATGGGCTGTGAGTTCCGTACAGCTGCTGCTTCCGACCCCAGCAGCACGGCACAGCGCTCGCTCCGCGCCGCGGCAGCGATGCTGCGGTAGCACCGCACACGCTTCCCAGAGGAGCTGCCTGGGCTGCTATGCGGAGAACACCTCGCGCCGTTTTTTAACCGAGCTGAGAAGTAGAAATACCTGGCACCAACTTTTAACTGGGTTGCAACACGCCAGGACGGGGATCTGTCACTCGGGATCACCCTACAAATTTGCTGCAAAAGGAAGGCCGCTGTCCCAGGACGGGTCAGCTGGACAACCCAGTTTTTGCTAATGTCACTGCTTTTCCCAATGACTTAAAAAACCTCCAGTGCCCGAGCGCGCTTGCCTGCTGATGGGAGAGCAGCCCTGGGGTACAGGGGCATCTCCTGTCACCCCTGCAAAACGCCTGGTTCAGACTGGTCAGCCTGTATCCCGCAGCTACTCCCCAGCCCACGGGGCCAACGCAGCTCGTGGAGCAGGCTCCGGCGTCACTGAGCATCCCGCCTCGTGCTCCTCCGGCCTCAGCTGCAGCGCTGCTCTGACGGAGCTG